GCGGCCGGTCCACTTCTGGTTTGCCACCGGCGGGGCTGGCTTCTGCATCAGCCGTGGGCTGGCCCTGAAGATGAGCCCCTGGGCCAGGTGAGTGCCTGCACAGGTGAGGCTGCCCCCAGCCTGGGGCCTGGCTTGGTTCGGCTTCCCAGCCAAGACCCGGGGTGTCCCCAGCCCCGTGTGTGTACTGCCCTTTCCCCGCCCTCCGGAGACTGTGAGATGACAGTCTCACCTGCTAAGAACAGGAACCAGGGCTGGTCAGCACGCCAGGCACTGTGGGGCAGGACCCCTTCCTTCGTCCAGACAACCTCCGCCACCCTGCCACAGAGGACCACCAAGCGGAGGGGTGGTGGAGAGGGACGCGGAGGGGACCCCCGCCCGCAGCCAGCCCACCCCTGCTCACGCTGCCCGGCTCTTCCCTCCCGCAGCGGGGGTCACTTCATGAGCACGGCCGAGCGTATCCGGCTGCCGGACGACTGCACCATTGGCTACATTGTGGAGGCCCTGCTGGGCGTGCCCCTCATCCGCAGTGGCCTCTTCCACTCCCACCTGGAGAACCTCCAGCAGGTGCCCATGACCGAGCTGCACGAGCAGGTGCGCCGTGCCGGGGGCCAGGGTCAGATGAGCCCAGGAGGGGCGGGCTGGAGCGCGCGATGAAGTGGGAGGTCTGTCTTGAAGCGGGAGGTCCGGAAGAAGCCCGCTGGCAGCTGCCCCTGGGTGCCCGAGTCTCCCAGCGGCGTGGACGCCGCCCCCAGAGTGTCTCCTGCCGCTCGCCCTGGGCTCCATGTGCCTGTCCCGCCTGTCCGGTCTTTCCCGAATCAGCACGCAGGTGTGCAGAGCAGGTGTCCTAGTCCGAGGCCAGGCGAGGCAGGGCTGTCGCCTGGTTTCAGGTTGCTTGGCCAACCTCGGGCAGAGTCCGGGGACGGTGGGGCCCCTCCCAGCATCCCTCCGCCCCCTCCCCACAGGTGACCCTGAGCTACGGCATGTTTGAAAACAAGCGGAATGCTGTCCACGTGAAGGGGCCCTTCTCAATGGAGGCTGACCCTTCCAGGTGAGGACGCTGAGGCCCAGGTGGGCATGCAACGGGCCGCCCAGGGGTGGGCAGGGCCAAGCAGCAAGACCGTCTGGCGATACCCCCAGGAGTCCTGCCTGCTGGAGGTGGGGCAGGGCCGCCCGCAGTGCTGTGGGCAGAAAGCAGGCACGCAACACTCACCCCGCACAGACCAGCCTCTGATCTGTCCCCACAGGTTCCGCTCCATCCACTGCCACCTGTACCCGGACACGCCCTGGTGTCCTCGCACTGTCACCTTCTAGGGGCCACGGCTGAGACCTCATTCCTGGGCACCCCTGGTATCCATAGGGCCCAGGGACTCTGTGGTGCTGCCCTGGCCTTGGCACTCGAGGCTGCCCCAGGGCTCTGCCTGCGTGTGTGTGTATTTTGTGCCTGCCCGTGTAGCGGACTGCTGGGCAGTTCTGCTCTGGAGGAGCGGGCAAAGTGTCCCTTGTCTGCCTCCCATGCCCCGAGGGTCTGTGGGCTCTAGGTGCGTGCCGTGGAAGGATGTGCATGTCGGGGGTCCCTCTGATGTCTGGGTCTCTTGACAGCGTGGGGCTTAGGGCTTCTCTGCAGGGCGCGAGGGCACCCGTCTCTCCCTGCTGAGCACAGGCTCTGTGCTGAGGGCACCCGTGCCCTGGAACCCGGCCCCTGCAAGTACCACTGCGCCATGCTCAGTGCAGGGGAAGCCGGTTCTGGGGCGAGTGACCCGGCCCCCGCCTCCTGCTGAGCTCTGGCCTGGACCGATGGCTGTCCAGCCGGGGGACCTGCGGCTCCCCTCCCGGCCCTCCACGGCGGGCAGGGGGGTCTTCCCAGCCCTGTCAGAGGTCTTCCCTTTGTCTCCCCACAATTGGGTGAGTCAAAGCTAGCATTTTATCTCCTCTCCGAAGTAGAGAGAATGTCGCCCACAGTGGGTGTAGCTGTAAATATTGTGACAGTATTTTTTTACTGTACTGGTTTTGGGGGGTGGGGTGGGTAAAAGGGTGTTCTTGTTTTTTGTTTTGTTTTTCGGCGGGTGGGGGAGGGTTTTATTTTATCTTTTCTGTGGATCAGAAAAAGCAGAAGCCAAACGCGGGGTCACCTTTGTTTTTAAAGCCGAAGTGGAATGTCTGCCGTTCTGTGTATTTATACGTTCCAGTATCTGGAACCTCCCCCTGCCCTCCCGCTTTTCTGCCATCTTTCCACCGCCAGCTTACCTGTCCTGCGGGGGGGGGGGGGGGGGGAGGGGGGTGAGGGTGTGTTGCATTGTTTTTCTCTTTGCAAAGACGTAGCTAGGAAAGCCTAGGAAAGCGAACAATAAGGGAAAAGCTCTCAGGGAATTGCAGTGTTGTTGCTATGGTGACGTCCTTTTGCTGTGAATAAAGGTGCTCTTTGCAGCGATCCCGGGGGTGTCCTGGTCTTGCCTCGTGGTTGTGCCCGAGGCCCTGGGTATCCGCGGTGCCCACCCAGGGCTGCTGGGGGATCGCCAGAGAGGGGCAACGTGGTCTTGTCTGCACTGCTGGCAGCAGGTGGGTAGAGAAAACCCTTCAAGCCAACTCTTTCAGAAGGAAACCTGGTATCAAAGCAACCCCTTGGCCGGGCATGGTGGTTCATACCTGTAATCCCGGCACTTTGGGAGGCCGAGGTGTAGCCGGGCTGCTGGGCTGCAGAAGCACTCCGACTCCGGGCAGGCTGTGGGTCCGGACTCCCGTGTGCTGGTAATGCTGCATCTGACCTGCTGGCTGTGAATGGCTTCGTGTCCAGACTTGACTGGGGGGTGT